AAAAGCTGTCTTATGAAACATAAACAGAAGTTTGGTATCTCTTCTGGATTCACAGTCTTTTTTTCCCCCTTCAAAAAATGGTGACCTGGTAAAATACAATATCAGTTGAGTTTTCTTTGGCCTGTCTATCTTGAATTGACACTTGTGAGATCAGGCCATGGAAGACAGTCAGCACAAGGGATATCCTTTCAAAAACAGGACATGATTTTCTACATTTTGTGTTTTTTTTTTAAAAAAAGGAAAGTTTCTTCTTTCTCTCCACATTACAAATTCTGAGTTTAATTTCTACAAAGCAACGAGAAGGTGATGTGTATATTATTCCATATTGGAAATAACAGGGAGCAGCAATGTATTCATAATACATTTGTTTGATGAATTTTTATATTTGTTTTTATGTCTTTTATAGAATAACTATAATCAAGAACATATGAAGAGTACACAAAACACTTTCCCTTTAAAAGCTGCCATGAACTTGAAAATAAAATGTAACCGGATAAGTTTAGAACATAGCAACTTCTAGCTTTAGAAATAAACACAGCAGTTTCTTATATATGTATATATCCATTGTGTAATTTATATATGCTGTTAACTGCCTAGTTTATTATTCTTGTAGCACTGAAGCTTCTCAATTAACAATACAATGTCAGAAGAGTTAGAGAGTAAGCATATTTCTATCATGGCTGGTCTACTAATCTAATCCGAATAAATATTGCTTATTTGTTTCTGCACTTCATCCAGTCAGATGACATAATATGCATAATTAATGATTTACATCTGTGATAATCAAGTCCATATATAATATTCCAATTATTTTTGCTTTATCATATTTTCATTTTGTACCCATTAGCAATCTGAAAGGTTGCTTTCCAAGGTGCTTTTTAGAGGCTTTAAATTCAGTAAAATAATTATTTCAACTGCATTCCACATCATGCATCACATATGGTTAGGCTTTGGAAATAATGTAGAGGTAACAATATTTGTTTATTCTTATTGTTAGAATAATTCAAATTGTGATCAATATTTCAGAGAAGTTAACAAAAATGTAACTATGCGCATGTTTAACCCATTAAAGCAGTGATTCTCAACCTTTCTAATGCCGTGACCCCATAATACAGTTCCCCATGTTGTGGTGACCCCCAAGTGGGTGTGGCCACCAATAAGAGGGAGTAGGACAGCTAGGGAAAAGGGAAAAAAATGGCCGACAGCATGGTTTGGCGACCCCCATGAAATGGTTATTTGACCCCAAATGGGGTCCCGACCCACAGGTTGAGAACCACTGCATTAAAGGAATGAGATAGAAAGAGGTTGATAAAACTATCCCCAAATAAATATCTACAAACCAGTTATAGCATATTTCTCTATATTTCTTTATATTCCTATATTTTGTTTATTCTTTATATCCTAATTGTTCTTCTGACTAGATCTGGGAGTTCAATCATTATTCATATAACTGCTGTTCATTTCATATTTCTTCAGATTTACTTTTGCATGTTTACACTTTTTATTTTATTCCTGAACCCTGAATTTGAGTTTTTCCAATGTTTTCAACAATTTGCTATCCGCAGCTAGTGGGAATTGATACTTCATCCCTCACCTTCCCCAAATGTGTAATTCTCTATAAGTTTAGTCCATCTGAGCTGGATTACAGACACTAATTTGGTTATACGATTTAGAATTCTTGCAACTCTGTTTTCTGGCTTCTATCAACCAGAGTGATATTATGTGACAGTATTTAATTACTAAAATCAAGTGCAGATGGTCTGTGGGTTTCAAAGGTGGCTATGACCCAACAAATCTGGCAGATCCAGAAGTTCAAATTATCAGCTCCACCAACATTTTTAGAGGATCTACTACAACATAGGGTTCAACACATGCCTGCCTGTATAAGTCAGCATGCATGAACTTAACTCATTTATTGTGAACAATAAGTTTAAAAATGGCTTATATGTGGTTGGTTTCTGAAGTGAATGTATTGGTACTTATGTTGTCTGAAGAAATCCAAATGATTTGCAGTGATTGTTGTCTAGATTATATGGTTCAACAAGGAGTACGATTTTGAAAATTAAGGCATGTTATACATAAATGGGGAAAAGGAAGAACAAATAGATGAATGTAATAGAAAAGTTGTGGGCAGTTTATGATCTGTTGAGAGGAAAGATTGGCTGCTGAAAGAAGTAATAAAGTGGCTGTGAAGAAGAACATGATTCTATCCACTATATCACATGGGAATAAATTAGGTAGCTTGTGTGCAACATGAAACTGAGTTGAATATAGTAGGAATGGAGCATTTCAAAAGTGGCATATGCCTTCTCTTGCTTTGCTGTCTCCAGTACCTCAGAGATAGAACCCTGTTCAGAATTTTTCTTTCCTCTAAGTCTGATGTTTACTAACCAAGGTCTTTAAGTCAATGGTATGTTGATTTGGATTTGCAAATAGAATGAACAGTGATCAAATTGCAAAACAAACATATGAAGAAAGACTGAAGGAGGAAGAGGGAAAGGGAGGAAGGAGGAAGGAGAGGGAGAAAGTTGTGATTGGAGGAAGATGATGAGATCCTCAAAAATAAAGCCAAGAAGTTTGAAGAACAAAATATAATGTATGAAGTTGTGTATGGACCTGGCACAGGTGCCAGGACTGAAAGGCAAAGGAAGAAAATGTAAATTTGGTTATATGCCCCCTTTTTGTTATATGCCCCCCCTTTTTTTTACCTCATGCCTTCCCTTCATTTTACCTACTCTTTCTAACTCCTTTTCAGTGCTTTGTATAATACTGTTTACTCCTAAAGGAAATAATATAGTGGATAATGTGTGTAAAAAAGTGATTCCTTTTTTGAATGGTACAAGAAATAAAATATTAAACTAAATTATGTTAACCCCATTGCACCTTATATTGGTCACCACTGACAGTTCATTCTGTGAGAGTTGAAGCAATCTAAGAGATTGTGTGTCCAGGAAATAACCAAAAGTTCTTGGGAATGGTAAACCATTTTATATATTATGGTGCTGACATACAAGGAGGATGAGTAGCAATGAACAGTTCTTATGACCTTGCACTTAGAAATACTGGAAAAAATATACTCTCTTACAAGAACACTGAAAATGCTTGTGGATGACATAAGGATATATATTTCAACCTGATATGAAAATCTAACTGGAAGCACACTGTTCATGCAATACAGTAATATTTTCAAAACACAGACAGAAAGAAACAAAAGGAGATTTAGCATAGGATACTAAATTAACCCTTGGAAAATGTAGAGGAAATTTGTTTGCATGCTAGAAGTATAGACTACAATTGGAAGTTCTGAAACACAAATTCAAATCCCATGTCCCAACCACAATAAAAAACCTATAGTACAATGAATACTAATGAGAAAGATTTCCTCAAATTGAACTCTTTTCCAGGTGACTTTATATGTTCATGTAGTTTTCTTAGCAACAATATTTTTCCATCTGACTTTTCAGTCTGACCTACATTGTTGGTATTTTCTGGTCATCTTCCATCTAAGTACTAACTAAGGCCAACCCTGCTTATCTTTTCAAGACCATCCCAAATTAGACAGTCTTTCCCTGTAGCTGACCTATGCACATTACTGTTTTCCCAGTATTCTAAGAATCTGTTGCCTGGGAGAAGATTCTTTGAGATGTGAATAAGCAGGGAGTTATTATGTATTTAATGAATGAGTAAAAGTAAGTTTTCCTACTATCTGAGATTTGCTGTTTTTTAAAAAAAATAAAATGAATTCCTAGTTACAGCCTTGCAAACAATTGAAAAATATGCTATTTTAATTTTTACGTTAATACAGATACTTTGTCTAAAAGGCAATCTTATTCAGATAGAAGTACTATTGGTTCTATTGAATAAGTTAGCTTTAAAACAATTAGAATTGTAACTGAAAAATTGTAAAAGCTTTAAAATGAAATGTGAACAACTCACTCCTACTGGTGCACACTGACCTTCCTCATTTATTAGCCAGAACACTCAAATCCAGGAAGCATCCACTGGCACTTGCACAACGTTTGCGCAATATGTTTAACATTGACTCCAAATGGAAAGCCAATGGGTGGCCAAATGCCCAGACAAAGGAAGACATGTAAATGACCCCACGAAAAAGTTGCCAGGTTTTGAACTACCACATCTGTAATGGATAATCCTGAATAGGATTCATACCTCACACAGTGTCTACCTGGATTCAGTGTATAAATGGGGTATAGTATCCTCCCCTCAGTGTGACTGCAGGTCCCATGTCAAACTGTAGATCGCATCATGACTGGCTGTAAGACGAGGGCGTCTACCTGTCCAGTATCTGATTTTTTTTAATATAAACAATGCTATGCTTCAATGGTTAGATGGCCTAGATCAGGGGTCCACGAGTCATAAAAGAGCCAAGGTTGCCTACCCCTGGCCTCGATATTTAAACAGATTTTTTTAACATTTATATTTTATTATGTTTTACTAATCTAGGGGAAATGTACCGTAATATGTATTGCTCTGATATGCCACAGTCTAAATAAATAATGAAATGCAAAATACTCATCTTTCCCAATAAGAAACTATTCTTAAGCTTTGACTTTATTCCCAAGTACTTTAGATATTTTGATGTAGATTTTTTATCAGGAGGGTATGAAGTTAGAGAAGGCGAAACAACTGTGTCATCATTAACATGTTTCCTAAAAGCTGTCAGTGAACTCATTGCAAGACAGATTTTTATAAAGTGTGACTTTACCTTTTATAAGACAATGAGTTCCTAAGTTACAATGTTAAATGACCTATTATAGAGTAAAAATGCTGATGGAAAGAACATAAAAATCCAAGCATTTTTAAGTGATGTGAGTTGAAATTTATCCAGACGTATGTTTGTATGACAGCCAGTTATTATAAATATCCCCCAATTCTGGCTTTTTAAAAATGTTTTCATTTTTAAAAAATTTATTCTTTAGTCAAATTACCATTATCCATTGCCCCCACATCACTTGGGTGATTGAAATATGACACAGGAATGCAATGCTAATTTTTATTGACAGGTGGCGTTGCTCAATCATGCTCATGTTCTTTGAAGTCATCTTAGTGTTTTTGATGGTAAGGAATTGCTTTGTTTCATTTGAGAAGTCAGCTTTCCAAAACAAGAGTGGAAGAAACAATGAAAAACACCTTTAATCATATCTTCTCCTCTGTCCATGAGATCTGCGACCTAATAGAAGGAAGACACTGTCATCAGTCATTTAAAGTAATCAATAATCTTACCCTAAGAATATTAATTCAGACATAATTTTCACAATAAAGGATATCTTGATTAAGTGAGCATAAGCCTACATTTGACAAGTTACAGAAAACTGTTAATTTTTTCACCTCCTCTCTTTCTGCCATGCTGCGGGAACTTTCTCCTTTTTCCTGACCCACCGCGACTTCGCTTTTGTTGCTTTCTACGATAGAGGGTTTTGCTTCTAGTGGGTCTGAATCTTGCCATATTTGTTTCTGTATCTGAGCTGTTGGCAGATGGACCTGCTCTTGATCGTCCTTTCAAAGATTATTATACTCCAGGTGGCATCTTTATCCTTTTTGAAAGCTAGAAAGCAAGTATAACAAAGGGTGATGATGCTTCACTGCAACTCAATTGTGATGAAATATAGTGACTCCTCCTTTCTATGGAGATACTTGCCATGAAAGGAAAATCAAGATAACAACATAGAAAAATCATTGCAGAGCCTTAGAAACATATATAGACAACCCTCCCCCCAAGTTATATAAATTTTTCAAGTCCAGTATTTTTTCCCATATACTTTGCCACCAGGAAAATCATCTAGGGAATTATTTTTCCATGAGTCATTTATGATATTAATATAAGGAAAAACAAGATATTTTTTGTGTGTTTCATCTATCTTGTATATTATATATGTACTTCAGCAAGTGACGCTGTCAAAGTTTTGTCTCAGTACCTTGAGGCTATTAGTATTTGGATGGGGGAAAAAACATTTAAAGTTAACCCTGACAGAACCAAATAATTATAGTTGGTGGCTCTTCCAGTGTTAGGTATTTTCCTTCTTTAGTTCTAAATGATTGGGGGGGGGGGCTTATTTCTGTCCATGCACCTCTTGCCTAATGGGAAAAGGGCAGTGTGGCCAGGAATGTCTTTGTACAGAATTGCACCTTCCTCAGGCACTCATGCCTCACTTGTCTGCCATATGGATTATTGCAGTGTGGCCATCCATAGAACTGCCTCTGAAGATCACTTAAAATAATGGTTATTAAACTAGGGGTAACTTGGGCATACCCAGGATATAATAAAGCAATTTGTAACTGTTGGGAAGTCAAGGATTCAGTTTGGGACTGTAACTGCTGAAATGCTTCTGCGGTTTGTTTGTGTTTTTTTTTGGGGGGGGGGTAATGATTTGAGACCAAGAAAAGGAATGATTGGTGTTATGTTCACGAGTCCAAGGCATTGAGATGAAGCGAGTAACACAAAAAGCAAGTCTCTTTGTTTACTGTTAGTCAGCAACATAACAGTAAACAAAATGGCGCGCAGGCCTTTTATAGTCTCTTGCAAGAACAGTGTCAACCAATCAATGCAAGGCTGGTTTTGCGCCTTGCGCAAGTGCGCAAGGCTGGCAACAGCCTGTCTGGTCCCGGGCAACCATGTGGTCTGCCCGGGAATCTCTGCAGCCTTCCCAGGACATAACAATTGGGTTAAACAATTTAAGAACCACTGACTCAGATGTTAGAGCTGGTCCCAGAATCAGTGATTGAACAATTAGAAAGAACTTCATAGCCATAAGGTCTGGTTATCTGACGGATTGTCTATCTCCAGTTGTTTCTGCCTGTCCCATAATATTTGACAGACCCGGCTCATTTCATATGCCATCTGTCAAGCAGTACAATCTTATGGGGATAAGGAAGCTTGTATTCGCTCTCATGGTGCCCATCCTTCAGAACAGCATCCACCTACAGCTTCAAACAGATTTACATTGGCCTTAAAGATCTAGTTTTACCCATCTTAGGTTTGTTTGTAGTGCCCATCTCTTCTCTCTGTTATGATCATATTTATTTATTGATTGATTGATTAATTGATTGATTGTCTCATATGCTATAGCTTTTTTAATTTATTATCTGTTGAATTGGCTGCATGTACGCACACACACACACTACAGTTGATGAGTAAGACAATGCTTATGGTCCCAGAGATAACAAAAGATTGCAGGATTAGTTTTCTATTGTTTGATATCCTTTTCTGATGAAAACATTTTCTTCTTTGCCTTTGAGGAAAAATCAAAGCCTTAAAATTCTACTGTTAAAATGTGTATATTCAATTCTGAGTGGGAAGCAATACCATTTTCACTGAGAACGCCTTCCATTTGCTGTCTTCAATGGCTAAATGAAAAGTTGCTTTGAAGAATTAGGAAACTCTCCAGATATTTTGATGCTGTCATGGTTCTGAAAGTAGAAGCTCTTCAAAGAACTTTGAGGCATTGCTAACATCGGATGTTCTTGCTTGACAGATGCATCATAGGAAGAAAGGGGAGTCAGCTAAAATGTCTTCTTTCATCAATTAATATTGTTATGGTAGCTATATCTCTTCTGTGAATGGACAATGTTCTATTTGTAAAAGTTGCCTTCTGAATCCAATCTTGCATATATGTAAAAATGTGTGATTTATGTGCCACATTGTCATTACTTTACATCACTTTAGCTCTGATACAATAGCACAGGTTAAGGAGTTAATGTCACTCTGGAACATAGGGAACTGCTGTACTAATTGTACAGCTGATTCATGTAGTTTATCATGAATGGGAACAGCTCTTCAACACTTCAAATATGAAATCTGTAATATAGAATAGCTATAATAGAATTCACTGTCTGTTTGTCTTTTAAGGTGCATATACATATATCCATGTAATATCTCACTTTATCTGTAGAACACATAGTGTTTAAAGTTTTCAGAAATATGGGATGAATTCTTTCCCATATTAATTAAAACATTTTTTTTCAATTCCTTATTCAGGGAATAACCACTATAGGCTTATTATTTAAGCATAGAACCTTTTTTAACGGTCTTGAGTCACTGGACAAATTTGAAATTTTGAGGAGATGTTACAAGTACCATCATAAAATGGCTGCTCTGAGAGGTTCAGACAACCACAGAATACATTTAGAGAGTCTTCCAGGTATTTATTTATTTACTACTCACTCCAAAAGACTCTTGGAGAACTTACTTGCCCAAGAACAAGGCAGAGGGGAATTTGATTTCTTGAAGAGCATCTGACTGTTCTCTTTTGCTCAAATTCTTGCTCTTGTCAAATTCCATCTCTCTTGTCTTTGTCATTCACCCATACCCTCAGCACGTAAGATTTACTTGTCCCACACATTCATTTCTTTTTTTCTTTCCCAATTACCTTTTCTTATGTTTGTATATACAGGGAGTTTCCCTGGTTCCATCATTACTGTAATGAAAAGTGAAGTTTAGTAAGAAAACTTTAACTGTCTTTTTCTCTCTCCTTATAAAATATGAACTTTATCTTCTTCTGTTCTCTCAAGGCAAGTATATAAGAATGACAATATTAGGCCTATGTATAAGCTGAATAAAATAAGAGTCCAGTAGCACATATCTGACTATCTTAATTTCTCCATTCAGGGAAGGGGTAGATGCTTTGGAAAATGAGATACTATGAAATCTTCTTTCCATTAGTGTAAAAGTAGCTCAGATGCAACTGTATTCAGTCTGTCAAAGAGAGAGCTTTCCTTTGTATTAGCACAAAATTATTTTAGCCAAATACTTAGTAGACATGAATGTGTGCGTAAGTAAGCCAGCACTATAAAATGTCTACGACGTACTTCAATCCTTCAAAAAATTATCAAAAATCCATTATTGCAACCAGGGAAAACAGTCATTGTGTGAGAGGTCTCAAAAGACAGCCATTGGTGAAAACTAATTTTAGTCAAAGGTTTAGTTGGCAAGAAGGCATGCCCACTTCTATGGAGATTAGTCCAGATTCAAAGTACAATAAAGGGTTAGAGACATACTGTAATATTTGTTTTTAGAAGTCTTGTATCTCCATTATAAATCTGTGAGCCATAAGGACATTTCAGAAGAGAACTAAGATGTTCAATCTGAAATTTGTCCTGGACTTAACCCAAACATGTAACATTTAAGTTGTTATAGAAAAAGGACTGAAAGTGTTCCACCCAGACTTCAAGCAAAATCATTATATATTTGGCACATGAGTAACTTGGTAAAGGAAAGGGCTTTAAAATGCCAGAGAGCAGCAGAATTCTGTGGGGGGAGGTTCCCTGCCAATGGTCCAATTAGTCCTCCCATTTTTCATTTTCAAGAGGTTCTTAAAGCTTTCTTTTTGGAGAAGAAGCTACTTCACACAAGTGGCTGGCACCATTAACTCTAAACTCCCCACATACTTTTAATCTAACACTTATTTCCACACATTCTCTGTAAAACTAAAGGTTAGATTTAAACTTTACTTTGACATGGCTACTCGTATCTCCTGATCTCTACAAAGATCAGATTTGGAACATCTATTGAGAACTATGAATGAATGTCAAATGCAGCTTGTTGGCCATATCTTATGTGTACCTAAAGACAAGCATCCAAAAATTGTACTATATTGGATACCTCCTGGAAGAAAGAGGAAACAAGCCTGGTCTTGGAAAACTTGGTGCCAAACATTTAAGGAAGATTATTAATGTCCCTTGAGATTATGCCAAAGATTCTGCAAATGATTGAAACTGCTGGAAAACACTTGCTGCCAGTGTGCTCTGCACAGAGCAAAATGTCAATGATGACTGGTATCTCCTGGTTGTTCTTCAGAGTGATATTGCTGTTATAATGGTAGAATCAGTTATACTTTCAGCCGAATTATGGTTACTGGCAGTGGTGGGATTCAAATATGTGAACAACAGGTTCTCTGTGAGGATGTCACTTCCAGAAGTCCATTCTGGGCCTGGGCAACAAAAAATTCTGCTGAAGTGGTGCAAACAGGCTGAATCCCATCACTGGTTACTGGTCGTATATATGGACTGCAATATGGTAGAAATATTAAGAATAAAAACATGTTTTTCTTTTGCTGATGGCTGCATGACAAACTGTGGCCAGATGTTGAAAAGATCTTCAAGTTTGTTTAAGACTCTCTGGTATGCTAAGAAGCAGAATGTGGTCCTTGCAGAGAAAATTAAATGTCAACTTGAGACTATTATAGGCTCAGTTACATTTCTGAGCAAGTGTGGTCTCTGCTGAAAGTAATAATTCTGTGACTACAATGAATTTATGTGCCTTCTCTATTTTCAATTATTTTGGGTTTTTATTCATTATTCTTTCTTTTTTCCACTTCTATTACATTACAAACATGCTTTTACTCTATATTCCATCTCCATTCTTAGTGTTTAGCATGAATTATTGTACATAGTATGATACTGATTGCATTTTTTTGTAAAGTAAAATTTTACAAAGGATTCCAAAAACAAAGATAGCAATAAAACCCAAAATGCCAATTTTCATCAAATCAATGTCTTTGATGCTGATTTTGTCAATTGTATTGAGTAAGTTCCTGAAAGGCTTAATTTTTGAACCACACTCCTGCAACAGTTTGTAATAAAATATCGCAAATATCAGAAAGCTGCAGAACACATCCTTGTAGTAGTTTAAGATCAACAAAATAAGTTTGATATGTTTTCTTCTTGCTATAGAAGATCAATCCTTCTCAAAAGCTTTCCTATTTCTTGGGACCAGGTCTGCTGTAGCTGCCCAATTCAAATCAGCCCCAACTTTTAGGTTCCCCATCTAGGTTACATCTATGAAATGCTGTGGCAGCAACAATATTTACACCTATCTGAATATGGTACTGAATTAATCAATGGGAAAGCCACATGATAAAATATGATAAATATATGGTTTGACACTATTAACACAATCAAGACACTGATGTTTCTAAAGAATTCACTGCTCAATGCTGTATATTTTTAATTCGTAAAAGTTTATCCCTGATTGTATTCTTACACACTTAAGTAATCTTTGTTGGTTTTAAGAATCAAACAGATTAGAGGATTGTGTTAGAAATTGCTTCCAATATTGGCATTTTTTCTATTTATTTAAATTCCTTTCTTTTTTACATATGCCCTAATAAATGACTAAGACACAAAAATAAAACATCAGTGTTTATTGACAGGTGGTATTGTTCAAATTGTTTCAGCCTCGTTGTTTCTCGGGGGAGTCAATCTGGGTGTTCTCGTGAGGAGGTTTTCATTGTTTGGCAGGTTCTCTAAAGAGGCAGGCAGTGCCAGGAATGTGAGATGAAGGAATCATAGTAGATGGGATTTAATCTTTCTTGCCTCTCCCTCTTCTCCTTCTGCGGCCATGTCTGCGACCTAACAGGTAGAGAAAAAATTTGGTTAGATCTCATCCCTGAATCATGAGTTATATGAAATAAGCGTTCAAAACATTTTAAAGTTTCTCTTAAAATTGTAAAAAAAAGAAAGAAAAGTACCTCTCCTTCTGCCGCGGCCACGTCTTCCCCTTCTCCTCCTTCCTCCTTTACCTCCCCGTCGCCTCCTCCGACGGCGGCGACTGAGGCTCCGGCTCCGGCTGCGTAGGAATCTTGCCATTTGAGGTGGTTCTTTTGACTTTCAAGCTCTTTGCAGCTGGAGCTCCACCTGTTCTGGATGGGTCTTTCAGAGCTTAAGGCTGGAGGCTGGCCACACTGCCCTTTTTATAACTGAATGTGAAGCCCAGAAATGGCTAGTGATGCTCTGCTCAGCTGTGATGAAATACAATGGCTGACCATTGTTCACAGCAAGTGAAAGATTAAGTCCACCTAGAGGCCCATATATGGCAAATTAAAACTGCAAATATAAATCATATTAAAAAGCTTAAACCAATTAAATTGCCTAGCAGGATTTTAGAAATAAATACTTCCAACGAGCAATTACATGATCTACAGAGTCCAAATATTTTTTCTATGCACATTCTCCTCTTCATTAAGTTGCATTTTGTTTATTATGGCCATTGCTGCTTTTTTTACATGCTTCATGCCATCATGAAGACACCGATATATAGTAATGGATTTGTTTATTTATGTTATTGGTTATTTTATCTTCTATGTAGCATTTCCATTTTGATTTTACTGGTTTGATATGATTTTGAATTTGATTTTATATTTTTGTTGTTTTTATTTATATTTTTAAATAGCTTGGTTGAAAGAGAGTGGAAGACCAGTGAAAGTTTTTTAAAAATTCCTGTGTTCCATAGTTTGAGAACTACACAGGAGATCGTTCCCTGTGGCCAACAAGCAGACTTGTGAAAGAAAATCTACATTCAGGTATAGTCATCCCTAAAATAATAAAGCAATATTGTTCTAGTAGTCCAGCTCAAAACTCCACTGTAATGGTTCAGATTTATTGTTTCCTGGAAATGCCTGGTCACAAGACTTACTGCTTTTCCAACAATATTAGCCTGAAACTGTATATTTGAAGCTGAACAAAAAAAAAAATCCAGTTTTTCCACATTAAGATGCAATGTTAGCTTGGAGATTGAGTGAATAGCTGTACAGTGCACTTTTCCTGCTTCAAATTTATTTCTGCTTACTTTGACAATTGTTGGCATGGTGTGCCATGTTTGGCATGGTCTTGTGCTCTAACAAAGCATTAGGACATATCCAACTGTATGTAGAGGTCAATCCATTAGAGCATTAGTTGTGAGGTGGTCAAAGACCTAATGAGAATATATTTTATTGACACAGAAAGACCATACGTTGGAATGTCATAAAGGATATTTTCTCTGACCTAAGGCTTATTATCTTTTTAATTAAGTCTTAATCTGGAGAGTATAAAACAGGTCATTAAAAATGATGTATTAATGTTATAGTGATGTCATGCCTGTACTTGTTTTCTAACAAATTAAAATTGGGAGTGTGAATGTTACTATGCTAACTTACAAAGACATTCCAATAGAAGCTAAGTTGTTCACTGTTGCTTATTGAATTTTAATACTTTGGATGTAACTAACATGAGGATGTCATAACCTATTAAGCAAAATAAAGCTATGACAGTGGTAAAAAGAAAGCATCTTTATCTGTCATTAATAGCCTATATAAAATGAGATGCTTAGTGTATGTGTGGAGAAAATTAAAGTCCTATGAGAACAAAAAATACCATCACTAACAATTTTTTACTAGCAACTTCTTTGAAACAAGTAAAATATATTTTCTAAATGTACCCAAAGTCACAACAATGATTTAACTGCAATATTCTGTCATGACTGCAGCTTTCATTCAACTTAACTCAAAATAAATTTAGAATAATCTAAATGGGGGGTTGGCAGTCCATGGACTAGTGTTGATGTTATCTATGTCCTGGATTAATCACATGTGATATGCCAACTAAAGAACTCCAAAGCAAGAGAGGCTGACTGATTGAATCTCAAGTGATACAGATGAATCTAGCACTTCCAAACTCTGTACTTCTTTGTGCAGACAATATTGAACAGTCCTGCTGTCAACAAGTTAGAAGGACATCCACATGTTGAGCCCAACTGTCCATATTCTAGAGGTCTTTGCACGAAAGCAATGAGATAATAGGAGAAGATTTGAGATCATGTAAATTATGTACTTCCCCAGCTATAGGCCTAGGCAAAGTAGGTATTGCCCAGGCCACCAAAGTTTAGGAGGTGCCAATGCTGTCCCTCGTTCTGAGTTGTTCTAAAAATACAAATCTTCATGTCAGTGGGACAGTGCTCTGCAACTGTGTATGTGAAGGTATCTACATTAAGCAAGCATAGCATATATTTAAAGTTTGTCTCTAAACTAACATAATAGAATACTTTGGGGAAGAGAAGATTAACTGCCTCACATGGAAAGTTACAACTGAAGAGGGCAGTACATATTGTACGATATATGGTTTTGATTGTCCTTTTGATGTAAAGCCTCTAGAGCAGGGGTCTGCAACCTTGACAACTAAGCTATGCTGGCTGAGGAATTCTGGGAGCTGAAGTCCACAAGTCTTAAAGTTGTCAAGGTTGCAGATCTCTGCTCTAAACAAAGATATTTCTTCGTTTCTCTGGTTTTAAGTGCTCTACTAGAAATAAGTGGCTTGAAATGTCTGCAGTTTACTATTTTGTTTCTTATGTTTCTACTTGTCATAAAAGATGAAAAGACTCCAAAATGAAATGTTAGCCTTTATTGACAGGTGGTATGTTCCAAATTGTTTCAGGCTATCTGGTCCTTGGGAATTCTTGCAGCGTGTTTCAGTGAAAGAAAAAGGAGGTTTGATTTTTTTCCCTTTCTGTTTGGCAAAAACTGAAGCACCATGAAGGCCGCTATGAAGACAGAAAACTTAGTGCTTTCTCCTTCTTCTCCCTCTTCTGCGACCTGAGGATTTACGACCTGGAGAAGACAAAACCAACATTGGTGATGTTGAGATGTGTTTGAATATTAGTGATGTAATGTTAACTTATTGAGCTGTAATGTAGTTGTAAGGTATAATGCCTTGACTGTATACCTCTCCTTCTGCCATGTCGTCTTCCACGCCTCCTTCCAGATTTACCCCCACGCCCCTTCCTCCGTCGACGCCTGCGATGGATGCGAGTTAGGCTCCAACTCCTACTGCGTCTGAAGCTGACCATTTCTGATGGTCTTGTTGTTTTTACAAGGTCTTAGCAGCTGGAGCTCCACCTGTCTTAGATGAGCCTTTCAGATTTTGTGAGTTGCAGTGGTATCTCCGATCATTTAACAGCTCAGCTTTGAGGTGTAACAATGACTAATGATGTCATGCTTTCCATTATGATGAAACTCAGTTATCTGTTGCATATATCTGAGCAAAATAGTCTGCTCTTGTTTTACTGAGATAAGCCAGGAGATGCTATTTGTCCATGGGGTTTATACTTGTATACTTGAAAATTATATCAGAGTTTGCATTTTAATATCTATTTCTCAAGAAATCTAAAATTATTCAATTACTTTCCTATGTGGGTGTTCAGTTAAATTAATTAAAGTTCAAAAAGATAGAAGAGTTAAATATCTATATGTATCCCTTATTATAAATACAATTTTCTTTTAAACTGTTTTTTAATTCCTGTTGAAAATAATAAGATGGCTCGCTGTCTATTTAATATACAAAAGCCACTACACTGACAAGTTTTTCTTTATATTGGCAATGGACAATGTCCATTACATATTTCAAAAGAACAGGGTGGTATATATTAGCATGGCATCTCCCACAGTACATAGCAACTGATATCTAAGGTAATAACTAGTGATCAGGACAGTCCAGCTTTTTTTTCATAATATGTATTGTATCCGTAGTTGGAATACAGAATAATAGGAGTTGGAAGGACCTTGGAGATCTTCTATTCCAAATCCCTGCTTAAGCAGGAGACCCTATATCATTCCAGACAAATGGCTGTCCAGTCTCTTCTTAAAAACTTCCAGTGATGGAGCACCAGAACCTGTGGAGGCAAGCCATTCCACTGTTTCATTGTTCTTGCTGACAGGAAATTTCTCCTTAATTTTAGATTGGATCTCTCTTTACAGAATAACAGAATCACAGAGTTGGAAGGGACCTTGGAGGTCTTCTAGTCTAACCCTCTATTGTGGTAGGAAACCCTATACTATTTCAGACAAAGGGTTGTCCAATCTCTTCTTAAAAACTTCCAGTGTTGGAGTATTCACAATTTCTGGAGGCAAGTTCCACTGATTAATTGTTCTAACTCAGGAAACTTCTTAGTTTCAGGAGAACTAAGTTGCTTTTCTCCTTGATTAGTTTCCATCTGTTGCTTCTTATCCTGCTTTCATTTGCTTTGGAGAATAGGCTGACCCTCTTCTTTGTGGTAACCCTTGAGATATTGGAACACTGATATGTCACCCTTAGTCCTTCTTTTCATAAACTAGTTATAGCCAATTCCAGCAACCATAAGTTTCCATCTGTTATTTCTTGTCATTCCCTTAGGTGTTTTAGATAATAGGGCCACCCTATCTGTGACAGCCCCTCAAACAATGGAAGATTGCTATCATATTACTCCTAGTCCTTTGCTTTGTTAGACTAGACATACTCAGTTCCTGCGCCATTAATTGTGTGTTTTAGCATTCAGTCCCCTGAACAAGTGCGAAATGGGGTGGACAACAATTAAACTGGGACAATTTTTGGACAATGCTTTTATTCCAAAATATTCTTTTAGAAGGACATGTATTGTTGTGTGAAAAAGGCACTACTGTTAGCATCTCCTTGACACTGGTGAGGAAATTTTTTTGTTAGAATTTGGTTTGCCAAGGATGATATTTATTCGTTCATTTCCCATTCTGTCTTTTCTATCTGTATGATGCAAAATGTATTAAAGCTAAATTCTCTGCAACTCTTAATATTACAATTTATTACATGAATGAAAGTGTTCAGGCTCCTAGACTGAACAACAGACGTTACATTTTTATCCTTTTTCTTGTTTTACAGCAATTTGCTGGGAATGAGAAATGACATTCATAAGATTATGAACATATCTTTGTTTTCATGACTTATGACATTTGTTTTCTTGATTCCCTTTTTCTCCTTATAAGTTTTTAATGTTACTTAAGAGAACAGAGAAGCGTGATAACAGACATTTAGAATGACATCAAACATAAATGCTTGTTTTATGACTTTATTGACAGACAAGCAGGGCTTGCATTGCTCCTGTGGTAGGAGAAATCCTGAATCGTGCAGTCTTCCCACAGCTCATTGATGCCTTATTTGATGGATTTTCCACATCATAGAAGCCTGGTGATGATTCACTGGCCACATAGATGGTATTTGTAAGCAGTGGAAAGATAATCACTGAAAATTATCTCCTTCCTTTCCAGTAATAGTATGTTGCACAGACACGTACATATCCTGTCCAAAACAAAAAACAAAAGCTGATTTAAAATATTGAAACCTGAACCTTCAGTCTTTATTAATATAGCATAGGCTTCTGATTAAATTATTTACAAGCATCCATCTATGAAACTTAACATTCACCTTTCCTCTTTTTTATTGGCATATCTGCTCCAGACTTGCACCTTCTGTTCTTTCTGCCGATTCTGCGAAACATCCCTCTGCTGACATATGTACTATCTCTGCGTCTTGACATCTTTCTGACAATTCAGGATTCCAGGAGCAAATGCATTATCCTTTGCCCTGTGATATCCAAGTGTCTGCCCAGATGTTACATGAGTTTCTGATGCACTGCTACCTGCTCTTCTCTTTTTATAAAACTTGTTAGTAGTGTCATCCATTGTTACCCTGGCCTTTTGTCTACTGAAATATTGCCCTATGTAATTGCCAGTTATTAATGGAGAAACATAAACGAATTTGTGACAGTCTTTAAAACCCAACAATACCTTTTTCTGCATCTTGTTTTGACCATTCAACATGTATGATTATTAGAAAACAAAAAGAGAAATTAAAAGTAGGGAAGTAACAAGAATTGTAATTTAAAGAAGGCTTTGCTTGATCTTACTCTAGGATGTATAGATATTAATATTTTCCGCAAGACATGCAGAAAGATAATATAAAATTGAATATATGAGAAAGCTTGAAAATATAGAAATTGTATATGTTTTTATTTATATATGTTATATCCAGCTCTTTTGGAATGAATGCATTATGCATACCAAATAAATGTTAACAAAAAAAAATTAAGCATAATTCCAAAAGATGTGGACAAATACATAAAAAAACATAAAACAGCACCTAATGAAATGAAAATACTTTCATTTATTTGTAGAACTATTTCTTTTAATGTAAAATAGCTACGGAGGTTCTCTTCTAGTCAGTTGCTTCTCCACATAATAAAAATGCCAAGGATCAAAATGGTAGAGAAAGCAAGCTTACTCTTCCTCCATTTCTTTGTAAACAGAACCTGTATGACAAGAATGACTGACTAAGGCTTCACACGGTAGTGAGACTTTGTTTCCGGTTACTTGGATATCAAAGGAAAGGACAGCTCTGCCTTTTCCAACATCATTTTAAATTACGGTAGTGCCATGAAGAAAGTCTCATTTTTCACTCTACTGCTTCTCTTTCAAGTTGATGAAAGAATTTGTTTTGAATTTTTTTCAAAGAAAAAAAATATAAATGAAGCTCTTTTCTCCTGGGAGAGAAAAGAAAAAGAAATTACAATCAAGGCGATAATTTAAAAAAATCTAAATAAAAATTTAATAATGTGATGAATTATGATAATGATAATCATGAGGATCATGAAGATTCAATTGTCTCTGACTCTTGGCAATTCTATGGGCAAGATCTCTCCACATCTTCCAGTCTTGCTCTGCTTCTTTAGTTTTTCTATGCTCTGGCTGGTGTCAGCTTTGATAGTGTCATCCAGCCAGTGTGTTCTTTAATGGCCTGATTTCTTTTTATTGCTAGCTCTTCCAAACAAAATTGCTTTCTCCTGTGAATTCCCCCACATGACATGGCCAAAGTAAATGAGACATAGTTTTGTGGTTTTGTCTTCCAATGACATGTTTAGTGTTATGAGCTCCAATATTTGCTTGTTAGTCATCTTTGCTATCCAAAGAATATGCAGGAGCCTTTTCCAGAAAAAGAGCTCAGATGAGTCAAATTTCTTCTTATCTTGTTTTTTTAAGGTTAAGATGTAACAGGAGGTCTTTTTCATAATAGTCAAGTATCCTCTAAAGCAGGGGTGTCAAACTTGCCATGTCATGTGACATATCGCAACGTATCTTGACTTTTCCCCTATTGCCGGAGTTGGGGTGGGCGCGGTTTTGGCATGACCATCCGGCTGGCAGTTTGACACTCCTGCTCTAAAGAATTCTTCACTTATTTTGGGTTGCTACACACACTTTTTGACAATTGCTCTGCTAGGTCTGTTTGACGTTCGTTTTATCTTTGGGGAAAAGACTAAAGCAAAGTTGAGCAGCTATACCTCATCCTTGTCACTTGTTACTATCATACCATAATCTAGCTGTGGGCTTACCCTTTTGTTCCTCTTCCTTTTATTATGAATAACCAACTCCCACCCCTCCCACATACACACATGCACACCTTGTGTTGCTTCCCTTCCAAGCCTATGTTCCTGTTCCGTGTTAGCCTTTTGAACTAACATGAAATGACATGCAATGCTGTTTTCCAATTAATTGCATTTTTGAAATAAGGAAGATGTGCTTTCTGATAGATTCTGAGACATAGAAGCACCACAGTATCCTAATTGGTGCCTTTTGGGCCTCAATTTTGTAGGAGTATCTATGTATTATGATTCATGGATGATATTGCTAGAAACGTTAAGAATGGTGCCATATGTTGTGAATACTCCAACACTGGAAGTTTTTAAGAAGAGACTGGACGGCCTTTTGTCTGAAATGGTATAGGGCAGGGGTAGACAACTTTGGCTCTTTTATGACTCATGGACTTCAACTCACAGAATTCTGGGAGTTGAAGTCCACGAATCATAAAAGAGCCAAGGTTGCCTACCCCTGGTATAGGATGACCTCCAAGGTCCCTTCTAACTTTATTATTGTTGTTGTTGATGATGATGATGATGATGATGATATTATTATTATGTAGGAGGGGGTATTGCCTCATTTGAGCTTATCATTTCAGTAAGAAATCCTAGGCTACAATGAACATTATCAAATCTACACCTCTAAAAAGGTAAAGAAATATAACATATCCCAAACAGTAAAAAGTAGTAGCATTATCTTGATTGCTGTACTTGTTGCTTTCTTCTGCTCTTTCAGTTGCTACACATTTTAACATCCAGTCCAGATGGCTATACAGAAAAACTCTGCTTTGCTTGTACTAAAATCCACACAATAATATTTATCTGCTGTTTAGTATATGTGGCTATTATGTCATCAGTAGATTAAATGGTAGTTACCTCAATATCTGAATTGCAGAAAAAATAAGCAGGGAGATTGCTCTTTCTTGGACAGGAGAAATTAACATCTTGAATGGAGCATATAATTTGACAGTGCGCCAAAAGGAAACTGCTTCCAGCAATAAAACTGTAATCTTCTTGTAGACAATATGCTACGCACGAGACTGTTTGCTTGCAGTACTTGGAAACAGTCTAAAGCTAGACTGACCAGGGTAACATTTCTGGCTGATTTGGTTTTTATGCATGGTCTCTAAACTGATCTTTGAATTTAGTCCTGAAATTATTATTATTAAATTATTATAACATTATGCATGAAATAGACCTGTCCAAAAATGTAATGTAGTTTTACTAATTGAGATGTTAGCTCAGTTAACACTTGACCACTGAGTTCAAATGGCAACTCTGCCTCAGGTCAGCCTATCTCATGGGTTTTTTGTTTCTCAAATGTGAACTATCTTGAACTCTCAGAGAAAAGGTAAACACCACGCACCACAAATAAACAAATCATTAAAGTATGTTTTCATTGCCTAGAGAAAGGTTTTGTGGTCCTGGAAGTTGGAAGACAATCAAGGATAAATCTAAAGTAAAATCACGTTCTGTTAAGGCTCAGTGGTGGCTAACATACAGGTAGAATCAAACAACAATCAGCATTCCAGAGTGTACTGGATAAACCAGAAAATAAAACCAGAAACATACCAGGGGTAGGCAACCTTGGCTTTTTATGACTTGTGGACTTCAACTCCCAGAATTCCTGAGCCAGCCATGCTGAGGGACAGGGAGAAGTTTCCATGCTGAGCTATGCCGGCTCAGGAATTCTGGGAGTTGAAGTCCACAAGTCATAAAAAAGCCAAGGTTGCCTACCATCCCTATACCATTCCAGACAAGTGGCTGTGCAATCTCTTCTTAAAAGCCTTTTGTGATAGAGCACTCACAACTTCTAAAGGCAAGTCATTCCACTGATTAACTATTCTCACTGTTAGGAATTTTCTCCTTAGTTCTAGGTTGTTTCTCTCCTTGATTAGTTTCCATCCATTGTTTCTTGTTCTGCCTTCAGGTGCTTTGGAGAATAGATTGACCCCATCTTCTTTGTGGCAGCCTCTCAAATATTGGAACACTGCTATCATGTCACTCCTAATCCTTCTTTTCACTAAACTGGACAAACCCAATTCCTGCAACCCTTCTTCGATGTTTTAGCCTCCAGTACCCTAATTATCTTTGTTGCTCTTCTCTGCACTCTTTCCAGAGCCTCAACATCTTTTTTATAATATGGTGACCAAAACTGAATGCACTTTTCTAAATGTGGTATTACTAAGGCTTTGTAAAGTGGTACTAATATTTCATGTGATCTTAATTCTATCCCTCTGTTAATTGCATTGGCTTTTTTTTTTTGGCTGCTGCCATACACTGGCTCATAATTAAGTGATTGTTCACTTGGATATCAAGATTCCTCTCTCAATTACTGTTATTGAGCCAGGTTCGACATCTGTCCCAGAATTTCTGGGTGGGGTTACTGTGTTGCTGGATCCCTCAGGTAGGCTGCCATTTGGGTGGGCAACCAGTCTCCTCTCATCATGCTGCCAATAGCATGCTGCTATCTGTTTTTGATGGTGTAACTCTCTCCTTTCCCCTTCTCTCATCTTCTTTCTCTGTGTTCTGCTCCTTCCTCTCCTCCTACCATTCTTTCCTAGTTTAATAACATTTTCTTCCTGTGATGATACATGTACATGTATATTCATTTTGAGGAAGCTGGACCATTCCTAATGTAACAAAACTCATCTAGCATGGTATGGATCATAGCCCTGCCAGATAACTAACATGGTAGGAACTTTGATGAAGGATGAGAATGAAATGGAGTCAGTATCTCTCCTTTCCCAAATAGTTCATGGATGTAATCCCGGATTAACTGTTTTGTCCTACTAAGTACTGTATCTCCTGCTTTTAGAACTATTATCCATCGATCTGTTCAATGCAATTGGCCCAAACCCCTTCATGTAGGACATCTATGCTTCCTAGAGACAGGCGCTGTACCTATGTGATCCATTCTATTAACAGTGGTAGAATAGCTAATTATCATAACAGAAGAGGAATAGATATTTCTTCGTTTTTTTATCCGACTACTTAACCTGATTACATATGAACTTGGAGTGTGACATTTACAAAAAGATACTGTTTGAAATGATAATTAGTCAAATATTCAGATCCTGAGTTTTATGAATACCTTGAAAAAGCTTGTTTCTCTCTTTATCCATAAAGGGCTTTAGGAAGACTGTATTAATTAATTTTATACATAAAACAGGAAAATGGTATCATCAATGATGAAGTATAGCATTTTGGACAATAAT